TCAGATCCAAAAGGTGCCCAGCCCTAACATCTGTACCCTCCTGACAAGTTTCAAAACGCCCTCAACTTCTGCCAGGGGATAAACGCTATTTATATTACCAATGAGGAGCAAAGAGACTCAAACTCCAGAGAAAAGGTTAGTCCCTCCGGCAAGTGAGCCAGTCAACAAACAATTCCTGGGCCTCCTCCAAGGGCCAGACATGACACACTGAATCGCTGAGGACATTAAAAAAAATGAACAGGACCTTATTTCTGCCCTCAGAAAGCTCCCAGTCCTGCAGGCTAGAGAGGAGCCGAAGGACACGGAGCGGGCAGGCCAAAACTGTGCCTGGGAGAGGTATGGGAAGATGCTGCCGTCAGCCAGGCCAGAAGGGACGTCTGAACTGTGGAGGAGCTGGACGCCAGGAAGGTATGAACTTTAACCTGGAAGCAAGGAACCGCCAACTGAGAATTATTTTGAAGGAAGAAAGTGCAACATTTACATCAATAACTAGAAGGCCCCATAACTGCACCCTCCGATTAAACCTGAAATATTACAAATGCAGGCGATACTGGCAAAGAAAATCGTGCTCATCCATGGCAGGAAGAAGGTGTTTGTTCCCTAGACACATACACACACGCAACAACCAGGTTGAATAATGTCCTATATGAAAACCAACTCTTACAAGCTCTGCCACGGTGAGCAGCTTTACAGAGAAACAACACCCGCAGCTACCAGCAGCACCGTCAGACCCTTCCTGGCAGGGGAAAGGCAGGCTGTGCTGGGGACCGTGGCGCTTCCAGCCTGCGGAGACTGTGAATGACCAGGAGCTCTGCTCTGGCTTGTAACGAGCTGCGGAGCCAGCACCCAGGTCAGTCCAGCCCGGGGCCAACTCTAACAAGTCTCCTCCATGTTCGGGACCTCAGCAGTGGCATCAAGATCCTGGGATCACCGCAGGATGAACTGAGACGAAGCAGGGTAAGCACTTAGCACTCTGCTGTCCGCAGATGCTCTACAATGCAGCTGGATCACGGATTAAGTGGCCCCTTACCCCACCTTCCCAGGTCCCCTGCTGCAGGGGCTCAGCCCAAGCACCCCTCCTCCCCACCCCATCGAAGTGCCCTTTCCAGAAACGCCAGGCAGAGCTCTCCGGCTAAGGACTGTGACTGCGCTCTCCCGCCTCTCTCTCCAGGGGAAGCTGCACAAACCACCAGTGGGGCTGGCAGGGAGCCTGATGGGCCACCTGGGGGAGGGGGGTGGTGTGGAGGCCTGAAAGCTGGTTGGGGGCTCAGCCACCACCCCAGCAAGTGAGCCCTCTGTGCTGCTATTCCCACCACAGTGCGGCTGCTGGCAAACTGAATTACACTGTGCAGTCGCCAACAGAGACATGAGCCCTAAGAGAAGAGCAAGTTTATTTAACAAGAAAGGCAACTGACTTCATTTACCTCAGACCCATCCACCCCAGACAGATTTTTTAAAAGAGAACCAAAGGGGGGAACCCAGACAAGCTGTCCACACCAGAAGCAGCGGATCCTGCCCTTGTGTCTGGGTCTGGAGAACATCCGTGCCACCCAGCTACGTTTCAGAGCATGCCACACCCCTGTGGGACACCCCAGAAATCTGACCAGGACAATCTGAAAACAGCAGGCAATGCTTCCTTAGAATCCAGAGATTTAGGAGAAAAAAATAAATCTCTCAAAGTCTGAAATAAAAATTTGAAGAAAAAAAAAACTTTTTGACAAGTTATTATTTTAAAACAAAAACAAAATCACATTTCCCATGCCTGCAAACAGGGTCCACAGACCCATTCTTATTTGGGACTCTCAGTGAACTCTTTCAAATAAGTCAGACACAATTTAGCCCATCACCAAGAGATTTTCCAATCCAGACCCATTTAGAATCACTTTGAAATGAGTTTTGAAAAGATGTTGGCCAAACAAGGCCACTCCTCACACCAACAGTAAAAATTCTTGAAAACACCAAAAAATAGAAAAATTTTAAATAAATTATGGCAGAACCAAATGCCGAATTATATGCCAAAGTAAGAAATTATATCTCCAAAATTTTCTGTATCACTGAAAAGTGCTCACAATATGCTAACCGAGAAACTCTGTACATAGGAATCCAACTTTGTACATGTACTCACAGAAGCAGGGAAAGACGAGCTGGATAGCCTCTGAAATGCAAACTGTTTTCTGTTTGGTGGGACAAATGGTTTTTAAACAACTATCTGCCCTGATGTGCACAGGCTTTCCTGATTGCAGATGGTTCTGTTCTAAAATTCAGAAAGACTTCTACTTGGCCACTGTGTCATCCTGACTTGCAAGGTGCTAATGCTCTGGGCACGTGCCCACTTCCAGCCCTGGGCTCCTCCGAATGACGCCTGCAGTTTCTGGGCCCCACGGCCACACGCTTGGGTTCCTTATGAGTGAATAACTCACACACTACACAATCACACAAAATTGCTTCTGCACAGTGTTCTTTTCATAGCAAAAATGTCCCCCCCAATCGAGCAATCCTCTCAATTTCCAAAACATCAACGGTACAGACATAAATCACAACCGTATCTTAAAATCAGCACAGAGGGAAAGGACATTTCATTATCATGGATGAACTTACCTTTCGTTGGAAGGGGCAGTGTAAGGTGCTTTGGGAGGTACAGATCTACGCTCTATTCAAATGACCCTCTGCTTCAGACCAGACTTGGAATGACCTCAGTCAAATGTTCAGGAGGTCATTATCCCTCCCTGAACCGCCATCCTTTACGACAGGAAGATAATGAATCTGGCCCACATTCTCACAGGGCTGGTACAGACACCCAATGAGATGATGAATGCAAGAGTATTTCTGCTAAAGTTCTATACAAATGAAAGGAGATATCACTGCTGACAGTAAAGCAAAGAACAGAAACATATGAGAATGGTTCTTAAGCTTCATTAACAGCCACACACAACACAGACATTCCTTTTTCTAACAGAAAAATAATAGCATCATCAAAGCCCCAAATAGGATTCATATTTAGTGATTCTGAGTCTTATTAAAAATGACAAGGATTCCAGCCAAGAAAGAGCTTAACTTGTCACATGGTAAAGGCAGACATCAAGCTACCAAAAACCTTCATCTAGAAACCATATAACATCTTTTTTTAAGAGAGAAAGAAAAGAAAAGAAAAATGTAACCACAGCCTCTTGCTAGAAAGTCAGACTGCTTTGCTGGAAGTGCTGGAGACCCCAGAGCTGGGCTTCCCGAATGAGAAATGAGAACGAGGCGTCAAGAACCACACTCAGCGAGAGGTCCCTGCACGGCCACAAGGTGCTCTCAGCCAAGGCATCCAACACTTGCCACTAGCTTTTCAAGTGTTTCATCAGACTTCTATGGATACAGCCAGAGAGCTGCAAAGAGACAAGGGAAACAGGCACAGCGCCCCTTTCACTCTGACCACAACCAAGCCGGTGCCCAGGCCCTGGGGGAACCTTCGTGCAATATCACGCGGCCATCAGCAGATGCGTGCAGCTCCCACGGCCTCCCACAGGTCTCGTCGGAGGTACACGGGAACTCTCCAGCTCTCAAGGAATCTGGAAGCATCTTAAATTGCCAACAAGGCGGCCACATGCTCTGACAGCCAGGTCCCACACAGGATGGAGCACTGCTCGGATCCTCCCAGGGAACCAGCAGGTCCCCTGTGGATGCAGTTGGCCAATCGGCAGGCAGCCGGGCCGGGACGTGGTTCAAGTCCATGGCACTGCCAAATGCCAAGAGGATCAGCACCACAGCATCCACCCTCCCCATCTAAACTGGTCAAGCGTCAAACCAAGATGCTCTGGGGTTAGCAGTTCGGACTGCATGATGCCAAAGCAAAGCCTTCCTGTGGCCGATGCCGTCACAGATGGAGGGGAGCTGGGTGACTGCCTGTACCCACGCTTTTGGACAAACTCCTGCCAGGCCTTGGAACATTCTCAATGTTCCTCAACAGCGGCCCCAGTGGCGTCTGGTTAGGACAGTCCGTAGCATGGCCCACCCACAGGCCTTGTACCATCTCTGGTCAACAGAGAGGAAAAACTGCTGACTGAGTGTTGGCTGGGGTGTAACACCACAGCCCATACTGACATCCCACCTTGTCCCCACAGCGGATCTCGGTGGGGCCAACTGGAAAGACCAAGGAGACAACCAGAAACCCACTAGCAGAGAGGTAAGAGCCACTCATAATCCCAAGAGAATACAGGCCCAAGAGAGGCGAACTCTGCAGCACCTCCCCAGCAGGGTCACAGCCTCGCTGGACAAGCTGGAAGGGGGTGGCCTCTGGCCTGTGAAAGTGAGACCCTGAGGCTGAGGGACACCCTGTCCTCCTGGTAGGGAAGGCTCTACTTCTAATCTGGCCCCAGACTTTTGGTAGAAAACACTCTAGGGAGACGAGCCTTTGCACAGAGGCAGGTGAACAGGCACGAGGACACGACACAGCCTGCAACCCCGGCTGGCTGTCTGCACGGGCTCCATAAAGCTGTCTCCACCGGGCTCCCTGAATTGGGCAAAGACGAGAAGGGGGCGGCCCTGCCCCGCCTAAGTACTCTGGTCTGGGCCCCCAACCCAGCAGCTACACTTCCCAAAACCTCTTCAACATCTAGCAAGACGCCCAGCCCTGGCCCGGTAACCTGTCACGGGTCCGGTGGCACCAACCCCGCCAGCAGTCCCCGGGCATCGGCTCGGGTCAGTAGGGCGGCCCGGGACGCGGCAGCATCGAGCCACCTTCGCACAGGAGACACTCCACTGCCCATGATCAAATTAACGCTGCCCGCCCATCTTCCCCGGGAGAGCTGGCTGCGCCCTCGGCCTCCCCCTCCGCCGTCGCCCGGCCTTGCAGGACATGAAGCACCGCAAAGCTCCCTCCGCGGGGCAGCCGCGTGCCACGGCCCCGCGCGTGTGTACACACGCACGCACACACACGCGCGCGCGCGCACCCCGCCGCGCCGGGGGCGCCCGCTCCCCCGCGCTTTCCAGAAGCCCCGCGGCGGCCCGGCCCTCACCTTCGATGGCGATGACGTGCTCCCGGATCTGGTTCTGCAGCACCGGCTCCTCCACGCGCTCCAGCAGCTCGTAGATGGAGTAGATGTTGGGGTGGACCGACTCGAAGCGCTGGATCTCGGCCCGGATGGCAGCCGAGTTGGCCAGCTGCTGCTGGTAGTTCATGGTGCAGGCGCCGCGCCCGGAGCCGCGCGCCCCCCGCCGCCGCCGCCGCCCCGCGCCCCGGGGCCCGCGGGCCGCCGAGCCCGGGGCGCCGCAGCCCCCGGGGAGCCGGGCCCGCCGGCGGCGGGCGGAGGAGGCGCGAGAAGAAAGGAGCGGGCAGAGCAGGCACCGGGCCGGCCCGCGGACTCAGTTCATGGCCGGGACGCGCGGCCGGCGAGCGAGCGGGCCCCGGCGCCCCGGGTCAGCGGGCCCCCATGGAGCGCGCCGCGGCAGGCGCGGCCGGCCCCGGAGGAGGCTCGCTCGGGCGCCTTCCTGCGCCTCAGCCGCCTTCCACCCCTAGGCGCTGCCCCGCCGAGCAGCCATTAAAGCCAGGCAGCCGCCGCGATCCGAGCGCAGGGGCCGACGGCCGGCCCCCGGGCAGTGGCCGTGCCGCTCTGGGCGCCCGGCCGCGGCGTGGGTCCGCGCTCTGCGTGCTGCGCCGCCCGGCGCCCCCGAGCCGCGCCTGCCGTGCGCCGCCCGCCGAGCCCGGACCGAGCGCAGGCGCCGCGCAAGCCGCGGAGCCCGCTCCGAGCGCTGCCCGCCGCCTGCCCGGCCGGCCCCCCTCCCCGGCACGCAGGGCTCCGGCCCACGTCAGCCCCGCCTCCGCCCGCGCCCCGCCCGCCCGCGCGCTCGCCGCCCTCCGGCCGCCGCAACTGCGTCCTCCGCGGCGCTTCCCTGCGCGCCGGATCCCGGGGAATTGCGCCAGGCTCCGCCCGCGCCCGCCTCTGGGCTTCCTGGGACTTGTAGTCCGCGCCGCGCCGCGTCGCGGCCCGCCCCGCCCGGGACCACGGGGAGGGGGCGCACGGCCCAGGTCAAGGCGCCGAGGGCGCGGGACAATCTCGCATCCCCCGCAGCCCTCCTCGTGGGCCCTGGAGCGGCCCTTGTGCCCCCGCGCCTCGGGACCGGGAGGCGGGGGGCGACCCCCCCCCCCCCCGCGTTTTTGTTTGTTTCCTCGGGGCCGACTGCAGGAGGCTCTGCGACTCACCAGTGTCCCATGACCACACTTGGTCGGCCTCCCCCAACCCGCATTTTTTAACTTTTCGCCTCTTCCGAAAGTGACGTGAGTGCTTCCTCTTAAATGAAATTACCTCGCGAAGGCGAAAAGCCTCCTTAGCCATGGGGGCGTGGAGTTCACACTCCACGAGTGAACTGAAGTTTAGACGGGGAAGCGAGGGGCGTTGGAATACCACGGAGACTTCCTAGGCACCCTTTCCCTTTAAAATCAAAAGGTTGAGGTGTGAATCAGACAGCTCATACACCGCCCGCTCGGAGGGGGTTCGCAGCCCCTTGCCTGTCAGCCCCCAGCCCCGCGTAAGCTCAGCCTCTGGACCCCGCGGAGCTGGACCGCACTGCAGCATCCGCCTCCGCGCGCAGACCGCTCTCCCCGCAGATTCTAAGCAAGTGGATTGTTGCAGATGTGTGGAACACCAGGGCCAATGGGCGGCCCCGAAGGGCCTGGTTTGTGCGCTGGCCGAGTCCCTGCCCCCACACTACCAAGGGGTCTTTTGGAAACAGATCCGCTGCCTAGGCATGCCTGAGCAAAGCCAGCTGAGCCTTCACCGGGTTCACCTGCAGCCCGCGTATTGTACCCTGATATCTAGCCTCGCTGCGTTACCCTCCCTGGGCTCACAATTCCCCCAGACAAACGTGCCGACCGTCTTCAGCATTCTGAGCCTTTGCTCATGCCCTCCTCCCCATCCCCAAGTCCCAGCAGGGTTCTTGACACACTTAGAGTTCATTGCTCCATCTGTGATATGCCTCTGGCTTTACACTTATTCTAAGTAACTATAATAACTGAGATGCCGGCATGTGGCCTCATTTTACTTAACCTATCAGCAGGCCTTGGTCACTCCCTCTCCTGGAAACCCCTTCTTCTCCTGGCTGCTGGGATAACCTGCTCATCAGGCTTCCCTACTATCTTCCTGGCTTCTCAGTCCCTTTTGTGATTCCTGCTTACTTCCCTAACCTCTTAAATATGGAAGGTGGGAGTGGGGGATGTTCATTCTTGGGCCTCTTCTCTTTTCTATATGCAGTGATCTCTGTCTTTAGGCTTTGAATATCGTATATGGTTAATGAACCTCAAATTTGTTTCTCCAGACCAGACCTCACCCCTGAATAATGAATTTATATCCAACTGCCTCAACATCTGTTGGATGCCCCCTGGCAATTTAAATCCAACATCCTCAAACTGAACTCTTGCTATCCCCTCCCCCGGCTCCCCCCTGAAATCATCTCCATCCCAGTTATGGGCAACTTCTGGCTTCTGTCTGCTCAAGCTAACAACTTGACACCTCTCATCTCATACCCCGAAGAGTGTCAACTTCACCTCCAATGGATCCAGAATCCCACTACTCACACCGCTCTACCACCACTACTGAGCCCTGATCATCTTGCCTCTGGGTTATTGCTAGGTCATTGACCTGACCATTGATCTTCTGCTTCTTATGGCATATTCTCAATAAGGCAGCTTTGGTGAGCCTTTATAAAACCTAAGGTCATGTGACACCTCAGCTCAAAACCCTCCGGTGACTCCCATCCCACTCAGAGTGAAATCTAGCTTACTCTGGCCTCTGAAGCCATATATAGGCACCAGTTCAGGGGCTGAGCATTCCCACTACTTATAAGCTAACAAGTTAGCCTGCTGTAAGTTCACAGATGCTGCCAGAAGACATGAGACTCCTGGGTCAGAAACAAAGGACTTTATCCTTGACAGCAATAGCAGTAGGTAGAATATCAGCATTTTCATACACCAGATCAATGAGCCCCCGTTTCCACAGGACCATGAGGTCAGACCTCATGGACACATAGTGGGTTGCCCTACAGGAGAGGAATCCTGAGCTTAGAGAACCCCAACCTTTTATATGGGAAGGGTTCTCTCAGGAAGGAAACCTTATCTTAATTATCATGGACAGTAAGCATATTTGCACTTAACTGTGAACAGGAAACACTATCTCCATCTCCCAAGGCTATTTGCCCTACAAAGGGTCTTAAAGAGATGGTCCAGAGCAGGGCACCTGCATGGCTCAGTGGGTTGGGCAGCTGGCTCTTGATTTTGGCTCAGGTTGTGTTCTCAGGGTCCTAGGATCAGGACTGAGTCCCATGTTGGGCTCCACACTTGGTGAGCCCTGTCCTTGGGATTCTCTCTTTCCTTCTCCCTCTGCTCCTCCCCTGATTCACGTGCCCACATAGACTATCTTGCTCTCTCTCTAAAACGAACAAATAAATCTTTAAAAAAAAAAAAAAAGAAAGAAAGATGGTTCAGAGCAAAGACAATCCATGTCTCTGCCCACAGATGTTCAGAGATGAGAGACCAATGAAAGATGGTTTCTCCTCTTTAGTCACACTGTGGAGCCTCCCATGCTGTCATGCCAGGCACAGCGCCCCCTCTGGTGTTATACTTGGTGCTTCCTCCGCCAGGAATGTGCTTCCCCAGCAACCGTGCCCACCGATTCTGCCACTTCCTTCACATATTGATCCCAAATCCATCTTCTCAGGAAGCCCTTCCTGGACACCCTAAGATGGCATCCCTCCTGGGCACCTGGGTGTCTCAGTTGGTTAAGCATTCGACTCTTGATTTTGGCTCAGGTCATGATCTCAGGGCCATGAGATCGAGCCCCAAGTGGGCTCTGCACTGGGTGTGGAGTCTGCTTAAGATTCTCACTCTTTCCCTCCCCCTCTGCCCCCCTCCCTCACAACCCCTGCTTGTGCGTATATTTGTGTGCGTGCTCTCCCTCTCTCTCTCCAAAAAGTAAAATAAAATGGCATCCCTCTTCATCAATACCTCATGTTTCACTTCCTTGCTGTGGCAAGAAGAAGATACCCCCATCCGAACCCCTAAAATCTGTAAATATGTTCCCTTACATGACAAAGAGCTTTCCAGATGTCATCAATTTAAGGACACTCAGAGGAGGAAATGTTCCTGTACCATCTGTGGGCATCCCATGTAATCACAAGGGTCCAAGGGTCCTCATAAGATGGAAGCAAGGAGGTCAGTGTCAGAGAAGGAGATGGGAGGACAGATGTGGGAGTCAGACAGAGAGAGAGAGAGAGAGAGAGAGAGAGAGAGAGGTTGGTAATTCCTATGCATCACTGTCTTTGAAGGTGGAGGAAAGGGCTATGAGCCAAGGAATGTAGGTGGCCTCTAGAAGCTAGAAAGACCAAGAAAATGGATCTTCTTCTAGATGATTTGAAGGAACACAGTCTTATTGACCTGTTTCTGACTTGTAACCTCCAGAACTATAAGATCCTAAATTTGTGTTTATACCACTAAGTTCTAACAGCAGTAGGAAAAAAACCACACTTGCTTTGTTTTCTTCTTAGCACTTCTCTCTAAGACAATACATACTTTCCTTGTTTATCTTATGTATAGTCTGTGTCCTTCACTAGAATATAAGCTCCACAGAGGCCAGGATTTTTTCTGTTTTGTTCCCTATTCTACTTGCAGCTCCTGTAAGAAGTGCTTGACATAATAGATACCCAGTCAATGCTTGTGTAATGAATGGCTTCCCAAGTAAATTGTAATTTCCATGAAGACAGGACCATCTTTCTTCTGCACAGTGCTTGGTCATTGTAGGGGCAAGAAATATTCAATAAATTAATAAGTGAACAAACATCTCTCAAATAGTAAGACTTTTCTCTTGCCACACCATGCACGTAGTAGGTATTCAATAAATGTTAGCTGCTTTGAAATTAAAGTTTTTCTACCAACATGAGACCCAGTGGCACTCCCCAGAAGGTTACTATAGGTTCATCTTATGTGAATACAACCAAGAATTCTGGCCATTTTTGATATGGCTAGTCCTTCTAAGGATTTCAACGTATGAGTGAAAACCTCACTTTGAGAGCAAGCTAGCCCTCCAAGTAGTGAGTTTCTCCCATGAGCCGAACAGTCAAGGTAAGATCTAAGGGTCATCCCATTCATTCATTCATTAATTCTCTCATTTTTTCTTTAACCAAATCTTTTT